AGAAAAAGACAAGATAAGGACGATATTGGGGGAGAGGGCAGGGTGATTTATTGATTCAGAAACGCGTACAATATGTTAATGAACCCTTTCACTGAGCGGTAACCACCATATTTAGCAACTAGAGGGATCCCGGATAACGTTGCAGAATAATACACCATGTTTGGCACCTGGGTATCGCCTTTCTCTAGCAATCGATCTTAGTCTGGAGAAAGTAACTAGTGGGAAATGAGATGAATACAAATACCACAGACATTTGTTACACACAATATCCCTTAGCCCGAATCGTCTAGTTATAGTAAGGATATTGTCCTCGTTGCTTTATTAAATAAGTGCAAAATTCAATGTTGTCTTATTAGTCAATCCATTTGTCATCTTCTTAAATTCCAAGCCTTGTGGCGTTGGTAGTCTTGTCTATCCAAAATCCTTCTTCTCTTCTACATTCAATCGACCCTTGATACAGACGACCACCCATGCCATGATGTTGAACTGTCCAGAATCTTTTCTCTTGGTCTTCTTCTACCTTTCTTTCCCTCCAGCTTTCCTACTGTCCAGATGTACTCCAGTATTCTCCTTCTCATGACATGACCAAAGAATTTATATTGATTTGTTCCCCATTCGTCACAACAACAAAATAGTTTGGAATATTTGTGCATGGGGTAAACTGTCTGTCTTTTGAACACAAAAGTATCACCATAACCAATGCTTCAGCACTTGGCGTGGTTTTAAATCAGCTTTATATGCAGACACCAGTTTATGTCGCCACAAGGGAATACTTGCCCACACCCAGAAAATGTGTTAGGAAGATAAACAACCGGCCCAGCAATCATGGGTGGAAGATCTCTTTTGAAGTGTTTTATGCATTTCATATTATTTCAAATATATTATTTTATTTGCCATTTAGCAAACAACAACAACAACTACTACTACTACTACTACTACTACTACTACTACTACTACTACTACTACTACTACTACTACTACTACTACTACTACTACTACTACTACTACTACTACTACTACTACTACTACTACTACTACTACTACTACTACTACTACTACTACTACTACTACTATTACTTTTACTGCTGCTGTTGCTACTACTACAGCTGCTGCTCCTATGACTACTACTACTACTGCTACTGCTGCTACTACTACTACTACTGCTACTATTACTACTGCTACTGTTACCACTACTACTGCTATGCCACTACTACTGCTATGCCACTACCATTAATACTTTTGCTGCTGCTGCTACACACTTGAACGATGCCTAAGCCTTTTGTGGTCCCACTCCCACCCCTGTAATCGTACAGAGGCAAAGCCTCCTCCCTCTTTCCCCACCCCAGTCAATCTTTTATTTGTACCGGCATCCCTGGTAGGCATCTATAAATCTGCCACCAGATATTTTCTACTTGTGTACCTTTTTTTGCTGTATGAATTTACCTGTAAAGCAAACTGCAGGGAAACAGCTGTTTTTTACGCAGTGCATTTTTTAAAACTTTTCAGTGCACCGTGTCTTTCTTTTCAATATTTCAAACTAGTGTTTGAGAATATCAACAAAAATATCGTACACAAATCCCGAAAAAACATTGCGACACCACATTAAAGATTACATAAGACAATTAAAATCGATATTTACAAAGGACAAATTTTAGTAATTCACATATAACAAGCCTCTTTGAAAATTATGCATTATTTTCAAAATGCACTATATAAGCAGCTTTCCACGATATGTTTCTAGCTTGCCATTTGGTGCAAATATCGACTGGGTAAACACATAATTTCGGTTAAATAACCGCTTCCGTTTAGTCAATAAATGCTATTTTTTGTATTTAGTTTTCTCAGGCAAAGCTCGCAGTTTACGTAAATTTCACCAAGTATGTCATCTTACTGGTGATCAGGTGTTCGTAAACAAATCAGCTTCCTCTTCCTTTGTGTTTCGCCCTAAAAAGACGTTTGGCACCCTGGTTTGTGCAATTTTGTCTTGTCATCCCTTTGTGGGTTGCAGTATTCTGTTATTTGAAGCCCTACTCTGGCTCTTGCCAGGGACCGCAATATAGCTCGGCCATAAATATGGGCTAATGGCTGAACACGGTTTCTGAGACCTCTCCACGGGTGATCCTCATCCACATGGTGGCACCTTGTGTCATCGGGTGTTTATCGCTTGTGTGATGTCCTGGTGGGGTAAAATTAGATAGATAGATAGATAGATAGATAGATAGATAGATAGATAGATAGATAGATAGATAGATAGATAGATAGATAGATAGATAGATAGATAGATAGATAGATAGATAGATAGATAGATAGATAGATAGATAGATAGATAGATAGATAGATAGATAGATAGATAGATAGATAGATAGATAGATAGATAGATAGATAGATAGATAGATAGATAGATAGATAGATAGATAGATAGATAGATAGATAGACAGACAGACAGATAGACAGACAGACAGACAGACAGACAGACAGACAGACAGACAGACAGACAGACAGACAGACAGACAGACAGACAGACAGATAGATAGATAGATAGATAGATAGATAGATAGAGAGAGAGAGAGAGAGAGAGAGAGAGAGAGAGAGAGAGAGAGACTGTTCTGTGTATTACAGCAAGGCTGCTGTACAGGGGGTGGGGGGGGGGGTGGTACCGTGGTGTAGCGGCTAGACGCTCGTCTGCGGATCAGAAAGTCGTGGGTTCGGGTCCTGACTGAGCCGGGCTTTCTGCAGAAATGACTTTGGCTCCCAGGTCGACCCAGGCTTGAGTGGGTGCCAGGTGCAGTCCTGGAAAGTAAAGGCGGAATTACGGAAGATAAATTATGCATCACTATATTAGATTAGGATAGCCACCATGGTAGCGGGTAGACGCTCCACTCAGATCTGAAGACTGTAGGTTCAAATCTGCATCGAGCTGGATCTTGTCAAAAAATGACCATAGCTCCCAGGTCGACTTAACTTAAAATGGGTACCAGTAAAATCCTGAAACGTATAGGCAGCTGGCAGAAAGTTGACCACATCACCAACCGAGTGCCCACTGGTCTATTAAAACATTAGTCTAGCACAATATGTCCAAAACGCCAAATAGCGTGGAAAAGGGACATTTTATGTCAGATTAACTTACATACATGGCGTTGAATCTAGATGCTTGATTTTCTTGACCTCATCGAGCTGGATTTTTAACAAAATTACTTTTGCTTCCATGGCCCCTCAAGCCTAAAATAAAAGGCGGCTGGTGTGTCGTTGATCACACCCACCCGGCGCTGACTGGTTTTTAAAAATATAGCTGACAACACACACGCGAAAAAAAAAGAATTCGGTTAAGGTTAGTTGCGTATCCTTTACAGGACGTTGCAGAACCATCCCCAACAGCCCCTGACTGTTGCGTGGTTTTTCTAGGCAAATTTACGTTCAGTAGTTAAATAGAATTCATGCATCAATTTTTGATTTAGATAAAATGATTTTGCATTAGCGTTGTTTTCGTAATTAGGTAGATTTCTAGGAGTTTTAATGTGCTTTCTAGATGATTTAGTTAGTTTTTAATATAAATTTTTTGTTTGTTTGACAATATAGATGTTCTGAAAAGCTTTTGTCTCTAATTATTAACACGTATTTTATGTTCTGTAGGATAGTTATGTACAAAATCCCCACTTTGGTTTTGTTTCGTTGCTGTTGCTCACCCTGTTGTTGTTTTGGTTGTTGTTGTTGTTGCTAATCCTGTTGTTGTTTGGCTGTTGTTGTTGTTGCTAATCCTGTTATTGTTGCTAATCCTGTTGTTGATTTGTTTGTTGTTGCTAATCACGTTGTTGTTTTAGTTGTTGTTGTTGCTAATCCTTCTATTGTTTTGGCTGTTGTTGTTGCTAATCCTGCTGTTGTTTTGGTTGTTTGTTGTCGTGAATCCTGTTGTGGTACTGGTTGTTTTTGTTGTCGTTAATCCTGCTGTTGTCGTTGCTAATCCTGTTGGTTTTTTTGTTGTTGTTGTTGTTGCAAATCCTGTTGTTGTTTGGCTGTTGTTGTTGTTGTTTGTTAATCCTGTTATTGTTGCTAATCCAGTTGTTGATTTGTTTGTTGTTGCTAATCACGTTGTTGTTTTCGTTGTTGTTGTTTGTTGTTGCTAATCCTTCTATTGTTTTGGCTGTTGTTGTTGCTAATCCTGCTGTTGTTTTGGTTGTTTGTTGTCGTGAATCCTGTTGTGGTACTGGTTGTTTTTGTTGTCGTTAATCCTGCTGTTGTCGTTGCTAATCCTGTTGGTTTTTTTTGTTGTTGGTTGTTTTTGTTGTTGTTCTTCTTCTTTCATTTGTACTTCTCTGCCCACCGCCATTTTTTCTCTTTTGTTTTCTTCTCTTTATAGCTTCCCACTTTAACACATCCTTCTCCCTGATCCATAACAATTCTATAGCTCGTAGATCGCTTCTAATTGCATTGCAATTTCCTTAGCTAAAACCACAGAAAGTATATTTTTTTAATCCACTTTAGTCATTATAATTACCGTACTCACCCTCTTAGTACTTATTTGTTTAATTAAATGGGCCGTCCACTGCGGAAAGTGCCCCTAGAACTTGACACTTCAAGTATACACACACAAAATATATTACTATAAAGTAAGCTTCAGGTGGTAATAGAACCCACGACTCCTGCGTGTTAAAAATGATAATCACTCAACCACGAAAACATCTGATCAATAGTTACCTGACATATGCTTGAAGATTTAAATTAAAGCTATTTAATTTAACGTATGTGGCTGGAAAGTTATGAAAGCGATTTCATATCTCCAACATACCGGGGTTCGACGTTCGCTACAAGCAATCTGACCACAAACCGCTTTGCGTTATCGTCAACAGCAGAATGAGCGTCGACCGTGTAATCGAAAATGGCTACCTAATGCCTAGTTAAACTACGATAAAAATCCTGCTTGGGTTGCTTAAGACGTCCGACAAAGGAAATGCAGTTTACTTCACACAATTTTAAACTCAAGCTTGTTCTTTTCTCCATTGCAGTTTCTGCAGCTGCTGTCTCCGGAATCGTATTCGGATGTTTCGTGTTTCTGGTAGGAATGACGGCTGTAGTTTACAAATGCTACCGCCGCCGAGTCATGCAGAATGCCCAGAATCGTCTGTCCTCCGCTATCAAGAAAGGTCTTCAGGAAAGCAACTCTGGAAGCTTCAAGAAGAGCATGACAGTCCGCAACACAACTAAGGTCATGAAGTCCAAAGGCACAAGTCCCATCACGCCACCAGGAGGAGAGTCGGGTCTGGATCGGGTTCCTATAATGGGATTCTCATCAGGTCATTCACCAGAACAGGTTCACTGCGTTAAAGCGGAAATGCATGTTGAACAGGAGAAAGACGGTGCCACTCCGGAAAAAGAAGATGCTTTGAGAGATCGGAGTATAGTATCGCCAGAACGCCCGACCAAGCTGGGAAACCTAACCTTTTCTGTGGCCCACGATGAGCAGAAGTGCGCGCTCATTGTGACCATAATCAAAGCAGACGATCTGCCACCCAGAGATCCTAGCCTTGGTGGGTGTGACCCTTACGTGAAGCTACAGCTACTGCCGGAGAAGAAGCACAAGTGCAAAACTAGAGTCCTGCGCAAAACGTTATCTCCAACGTACGACGAGACGTTCACCTTTTACGGCATCACAGGCAACCAGATCCCAACCACTACTCTACACTTTGTTGTTCTCAGCTTCGACAGATTCTCCCGCGATGAGATCATAGGGGAAGTCATTTACCCGCTCTCTGATACAGACATCAACCAGAAAGAGACCACCGTTACCAGAGACATCACTCCTCGTCATTTAAAGGTGAGTTCTGCGGGATATTTTAACAAAATCTTCGTACAGACCAGGGTTGCGCTAAACCTTAGGGCCTATGCACCTTGACGATCCCCACGTTTACTGGGTTGGGGGGGGGGGGGGGGGGGGAATGGGGAGGTTAAAGAAGGGAAAGGGGACTATTGTCCTGCCTTCGCCCCTCAGAAAAAAAAACTGCGAAGAAACTCCCCTTTAAAGTTTGGTTTATACACATCATTTTATTGTCAAGGGTTCGTGTCCCCGTGTCTGACTTTTTTTTCCAAAAATGACCTTGAGTCCCAGGTTGACCCAGCCTTGAGTGTATACCAGGTGCAGTCCTGGTAAGTAAAGGTGGCCGGCGTGATGCTGACCACATCACACACCAAGTGCAGGTTGGTCAATAAAATTATAGGTCTAGCCCTATATTCCCAATATGTCTAAAGGTGTGGAAAAGGGTACTTTACTTACATCATATTTTTACATACACATTATTATATTTATTTGCCATTCAGCATGTTATTTACTATTATTATTATTGATTGTAATTATTGCTATTATTAGGCACTTTAACAAAGCTTAGGCTCCTTGAATATCTCCCTCCACTTAACTTTGTTAGGAGGAGGAGCAATAAACACCGAGCTCCAGCCCCGCCTGTCTTCTTTGTCGGGGCTCCTTTTCCAGGTGCTTATGGGAGAAGGTGATAAAAACTAGGGCTGTACCGAATAGTGATTTTTACTATTCGGCCGAATACGAATAGCTGAACCAACTATTCGGCCGAATACGAATACGAATAGTGTATCATCATCATCAGGTGCTTTGCCGACTGGCATGGGCGATTATGCCTCGCCACAATCTGCGATCTCCTGCAGCATGTATCAGTTCGTGTACTGACACACCTGCATGCCATGCGACAAGACTGTCAAAAATATTTTCTCGTTGTCTTCCTCTATCCCTGCTTCCACAGATCTTCCCAGTGGTCACATGTTAAATTTCCCCTCATCTTATAACATGGCCGAGAAATGATGGCTGTCTCCTTCTGATGTCTGTGAGAATTTGTCTTCGGCCTCCCGCCTCTTTCAAAACCTCTTGATTTTTTGGGCTGTCCAAAGCATTTTAAGCTACATTCGGCCGAATACGAAAATGAATACGAATAGTGAATCATCATCATCAGGTGCTTTGCTGACTGACATGGGCTATTATGCCTCGCCACAATCTGCGATCTCCTGCAGCATGCATTAGTTCGTGTGCTGACACACCTCCATGCCATGCAACAAGACTGTCAAGAATCTTCTCTCGTTGTCTTACTCTATCCCTCCTTCCACATATCTTTCCAGTGGTCACCACTTGTTCAATTTTCTCTCATTTTATGGCCGAAAAATGATGACTGTCTCCTTCTGATGTCTGTGAGTAGTTGTTTTCGGGCTCCCGCCTCTTTCAAAACCTCTTGGTTACCTTTTTTTTTTTTTTTTTTTTGCTGTCTAAGGTATTTTAAGCATTGTTCTGTAAAACCACATCTCTGAGGCCTCAAGAAATTGTTTGGCCTGCCTACCGATTGTCCAGGACTTACAGCCATATGTTAAAACTGGATGTATGTAGCAAGCAAGAATTCTTTTTCTAACCTTCAATGATAAAGATATATTGCATAAGATGTTATTCATTTTATAAAATGCAGTTTTTGCTTATCCTATTCTGTTTCTCATTTCAGTAATGCATCTTCCATCTGATGTTATCCATGTGTCCAGATACTTAAATTTCTGTACTTGTCCCTAAAAAAAACCATTGACATTTATTACACATTTAGGAATAATTATTGTCTTTGATACCACCATTACTTCTGTCTTTCCACTATTCAAACTGAGGCCCATTCGTCCACTCTCGTGAATAAAATAGATCTTAGAAAAAAAACATCCATAATGTCAAATGTACGCTGAAATTTTACTTCGCAAAATGTAATCCAGAATAGTAAACATTTAAAAACATTTCATGTTTTGCATCCTTCAGTTAGTCATTCTGTGGTAACGAATACTAGGAATGAAGTTTTATAACAAGTAACTAAATTTGTATATTGTAACTGACAGCTTAGTTAATCCATGAAAGCGGCATTAGCAGCCCTGCTCCAGAACCTGAGTTTTGCGTGTGCATCAGTTATACAGATCTGATTCACTTAAATGCAGACTGTTGGTTCCTTGCCTCAAGTCTTTCTACAACCTCCTCAATGAAGAATGGCTACACTGACACACTGCTGTCTTTGGGAATATTAGAAAGTGAAACTCTAATCATTTCCACGATGTGACTCTCATACTACTCGCATTTTCTGACAACCATGGTTTTTTTTTTTTTTTTCCTTGAAATAAACTGCAAACCGCGGAAATATAACTATTGTACTCGAGTCTCACTAAATTGTTAAAATATTCTCGAACGGCGAAAACTGAACTTTTGTACTCGAGTATCGTGAAACTGTTAAAGTATTCACTAACCTCTTTGCCAAAACCCAATTGACCTGAAAATAGTACCAGGGTTAAGTGCAACAAAGTTCTGTGAATACTGATCCTTTATCCTGCCTGACAAGCTACGTTCGCCATCGGCTGGAAAAGAAGCCCCAAATAAATGTAAATAACGAACGAACTATGGGGAAGGGAGGAGGGAAGGGAGGGGGCGGAGGGAATAGCGCTGCCAGTTCAAAGTACAATCTTAAAATGAGCATTGAGATCTGCCAATTTTCGATTTCGGAGAATGTAGTTTTGTCTGTCGGATTATCTGATTATATTGATATTATGACCTGATTTTTTTTTTCGTGGGAGGGGAAGGGGAGGAGGGCGGCAGAGTGAGAGCCCTAGAAGCGCTGTTTTCTAACTCTCCGTGTCTCTATAATGCTGTGGTTTTCAGTTTTATTTGTTGTTTAAATTGTGTCCCCTTCAATCTATGGAAAGGACCCCAACACCCCAGCCCCACGACGTCTTTAAAAATAATTCGATAAATAAAAAAAAAAAATAAAAAAAATACAGGACGAAAAGAAAAACACCAAACCCTATTAGCAAGAAATTGAAAGAAAATTATCTAACATTAGGTAAGGCACCATAGACAGCGCTCTCAATATCATGCGAACAGCGTTGTATAACCAGTCGTCCCCTTGTGAGATGCAGTTTTTCGTTATTTCGAAGCACCACTCAGGCTCTTGCAGGGACCGCAATATAGCCCGGCTATAAATATGGCCTAATGGCTGAACGCAATTTCTGGGTTCTCTCCACGGGTGATCCTCATCCACGTGGTGGCACTTTGTGTCATCGAGTGTTTATTGCTTGTGTGATGTCCTGGTCGGGTCAAATGTACTACCACCACCACCACCACCACCACCACTACTACTACTACTACTACTACTACTACTACTACTACTACTACTACTACTACTACTACTACTACTACTACTACTACTACTACTACTACTACTACTACTACTACTACTACTATTGCTACTACAGCGCTATTTTGTTTTTGCGACCAATTTTTTTTTTAATAAACGAAAAAACAAATATTAGTATAATAGCACAGTTGATGGAAACCTCAACGCACTCTTTCATACTCCCTTGCGTCCCCCTTCCAAGGGGTGGGTGTGTGGGGGCAGTTTGAGAACCACTGCTCTAGCCCAATACAGACAGATACAATGAAGCAAGTTGTAAAGGGCAATGAGAGAAAATAAAGATAACATATTAGAGAGTACAAAATAAAATTAAACGGAATGAGGAAAAACTACGGATAAATGAGGCTGATGAAGATAAACTACGGCTCTAGCCCTAACAGCTGCTGTGCCAAATACTAAATGTTAGGAGGATAGAAAGTTTCAGATGCACGGTGGCATAGTGATTAATTCCTTTGTCAGTCGAGCAGTGATGAAGTTTCAATGCCTAACGAATGTATCTGAATAGTACAAAACGCACACTAATCATCTCATATGGCAGCTTCGGTAGCATACCCCTCCCCTCCCCCACCCAAATATTGTTGTTACCTTTTCTTTGGAGTAAACAAGGCCGATCGCGCAAAAGCATCATGCTTCATGGACAATGCATGGTTTCTACTTTATTGCCCAATCTTCGCGCTACAGAGAAGAGGAACTTTATCGCTTGCAACATTACACACTTCTTTATCGAAAGGGTCGGCGTCTGTGGCTTAGGCGTTGCGAGCGCGCTTCGTAATGCCTGGGTGCCGGGTTAGATTCCAGCTGCGAACGATTTGTCTCGCTTTGGTTTCAACAGTGGTATCGAGAGCTGACCAATTAGAATGCAATGGCAAACTACTGAATGTAAATTTGCCTAGAAAAACCACAACAGACAAAAAATGCTTGGGTTGGTTCTACAACGTCCTGTAAAGGATACGCAACTTACTTTATCGAAAGGACTAGAAAGTTATACCATACTTCTTACAGTCAGACCCAGATATACTAAGTGATATTTCTATCTCTAGATTGCTTTAAAAAAAAAATTCAGTTCCTTACATGTTTCTATTTTCTGTCCAACAAAGCAACTGTCGTGATCTATAGACCAAAGCCATCGAAGCAGGATTCCACTATTGAGGGATGTATCAGAAAGCCTCTATATCCTGCCTGAATCAATGGCGTTAGCTAATTTCCCCCATTCTTCTTCAGACACAAAATCTCTGAGATCGTTAATAGAAATCCGCATTTAAATCACCGCTTGCGTCTATGCATTAATGGTCTTGGGAGTTATTGACTTGTCTCAAAATATGCAGGAGATCTCAACATAGTTGTGTCTTACCGGGACATGTTAGGGAAACAAAGAACAACTGACTTATCGTGAAAGCATAAGAGGCAACCATGGAAGGTTGGCGTGATATTGGCTATACTATCTCGGAGAAAATTGGCGTGCAACATCCAACAAATAATACATAATCAAGACTACAGGGGTTAACATGCAAATTGCTCCAAGACATATGCTCCATTAGAAAATGAAAGGAGGAGTATGGAAATGAAAACGAAAACAAAAGAGGAGGAAGAATGA